GGGGGCGGAGCCGGCCTGAGCCCGCCCATGCACCCCCTGCCCCACGCCCAGGTGCCGGCGAACCCCCAGGATGGCGGAAGCGCACCAGGCTGTGGCCTTCCAGTTCACGGTGACCCCTGACGGGGTCGACTTCCGGCTCAGTCGGGAGGCCCTGAAACACATCTACCTGTCTGGCATCAACTCCTGGAAGAAACGCCTGATTCGGATCAAGGTGGGCACAGGAGTTCTCCGGCCCCGGCCTCTTCCTCCCAACAGGTGCAGAACAGCCCTCAGGGAAGAGGCAGCTGCTTCGTGTCCACTGCTGTCCACTGCCAGGGCTTCCCTCCCCAGACGCTAGCTGGCAGCCAACCCCCCCGCCCCCACCGCTCGCCCAAGTTCTGCAGGATGACGGGGGGGCGCTCAGGGCAGGTGGGGGACCCAGCGAGTGCTCAGTGCTGAAGGTGTGAGAGTGTGGACAGGCGAAACCAGACTTGAAGAATGACGAGAAGAACAGCAGGTGGGCGGGGGGGGGGGCGCTGCAGGAAGATCAGAGCCCCCCCTCATCTCCGAGGTGTCTGCTCACGACTCCCCATTCTGCAAGGGTCCCAGGAGAGCTGTGCCCCGTTTCTGTCCACAGAATGGCATCCTCAGGGGCGTGTACCCTGGCAGCCCCACCAGCTGGCTGGTCGTCGTCATGGCAACTGTGGGCTCCTCCTACTGCAACGTGGACATTTCCATGGGGCTAGTTAGTCGCATCCAGAAATGCATCCCTCATGGGTAAGAAAAAGGGTTTGGAGGTAGGCACAGGTGTCCTGAGAGGGCTGGGCCTATACTTCCAAGGCCGGGGTTGGAGAGCTGGGGCCAGACACAGGACAGTGGCTTCTTCCCAGGACCACCATCACCTGTTCTGTCCCTGATGGTTTGTATTTGATGCACTCAGAAGAGTGGGCACCAGGGAGGTTCTGCTCCCTCGGCGCCTTCCCCGAAATGGGCCACAACCACAAAGTGACATTCAACTCGGGAGGCGTCAGAGGTACAGTCAGAATGGCCCCGAGGCTGGCCCCGAGTGGACCCCACTGCCCTTCCCCCCTGCACAGGTGCAGCCCCTACCAGACCCCGCAGACCAAGGCACTTCTCGGCATGGCCATTTTCTCCACGGGGGTCTGGGCCACCGGCATCTTTTTCTTCCGCCAAACCCTGAAGCTGCTGCTTTCCTACCATGGCTGGATGTTTGAGATGCATGGCCAGACCAGCCGCGTCACCAGGATCTGGGCTGTGAGCAGGGCTGGGCAAGGGTGCAGAGCCCACTGGGGCTTCTGAGCCAGAGGGAGAGGCAGGTGGGGTGTCAGTGCCTGGCATGTGGGTGCATCCTGGGGGGATGGGTGGGACTGGGGTACCTAGGCTCCAGCTCCTCAGGCAGTCCTGGTTTGTGTTCACTCTCTCCTGGCTCCCACCCCACCCACTGCTTCCTGTACTCCAGATGTGTGTCCGCCTTTTGTCCAGCCGGCGGCCCATGCTCTACAGTTTCCAGACATCCTTGCCCACACTTCCTGTGCCCAGCGTGTCGGCCACAATCCAGAGGGTGAGGGATCTGGTCGGGGGGTGGGGGCTGGACCAGAGGACTGGCCCAAACCCAAGGGACTGTTGCTGAATAGAGCAGATTTGCGAGTGACAGGCTGAAGGAGAGGGGAGGAAAAGGGCCAGGAGGGTCCGAGGCAGCCTTTCCTATTGGGCCCTTGCTGTGATACCTTGGCTGGACAGTACCTGGAGTCTGTGAAGCCCTTGTTGGGTGACGAGGAATACTACCGCATGGAGACATTGGCCAAGGAATTCCAGAACAAGACTGCTCCTAGGTTGCAGAAGTACCTGGTGCTGAAGTCTTGGTGGGCAACCAACTACGTAAGCCTCCCCACCCCAGGTGCTTTCCTCCTTACCTACCCGCGTGCCCCAGCTGCCCTAGCCCTGCACCCCCGCCCGGCCCCTCTGACCTCCTGCTCGCCCGCAGGTGAGTGACTGGTGGGAAGAGTACGTCTACTTGCGAGGCAGGGGTCCTCTCACGGTGAACAGCAACTATTACGTGACGGTAAGACCTGGAATCCGGCGACTCTTTCCCCAGCTCTGAGTTTTGGGGTGCGGGGCCCTGAGCAGCAGCCCAGCGCCCTGGTGACAGGTGAGGGCTTATGGAGTAAGGCTTGAGAGAAAGGGAAATAGAGGGGAGACCCTGTCACTGTCTCACAGACAGGCCACGGGGTCCTTTCCACCCTGCATGCCATCGCCAGGTGAATCCCCTCACTCCTCGGATCCAGAACCAGATCGGAGCGCAGGCTGTTCTCTTAGAACTCAGGGTGTCGCTGTCGGACCCTGCTCCCTGGGCCCCCCACACCATCTGCGTCCACCAGCCTGTCTCCCTCTGCCTGCCCTGGCACCTGTCTGCCTGTTGTCCTCTGCTGGAGTTCCCTCTTGTCCTGAAACACACACAGCTGTTCTCCACCACAGATTTTAAGCTGTTTTTTCAGCAGTAGAACCCCTTCTTCAAAACAGAATAAATCCTAAACTAATAAAATAGAATCTGAGAAAGAGGGGTCAGACTGCCTCGGGTCACCAGCTGGCTTGGTCTCAGTCAGCCGGAAGCGCCCGCTGGGCACCCTGCCACCCTGCAGGCTCCTCTCTCTCCCCAGGACTTGGTGCTCCTCAGGCCCACGGAGGTGCAGGCCGCGCGCCTGGGGAACGTCGTCCACGCCATGATCTTATATCGTCGTAAGCTGGACAGGGAAGAGATCAAGCCTGTGAGTGGGATGGGCTGGGGTGGGGCCGGTGGAGGGGAGGCCATGTCTGAGCCTCGGGCCTTCCTCACAGGTGATGGCGCTGGGGGTGGAGGGGCAGCCGTGTCCAAGCCGTGGACCTTTCTCGTAGGTGATGGCGCTGGGCATTGTGCCCATGTGCTCCTACCAGATGGAGAGAATGTTCAACACCACCCGGATCCCGGGCAAGGAGACAGGTGCCACCCCCACTGCCTGCTGTTACTGCCTGCCGTGCTGTTAGGTGCTGGGATCCCCAGGGGACTGGCACAGAGCCCCTTCCCCAGGGCTCGCTGTGCCTGGCCCAGGGGGACAAGGGAGTAAAGGGAGGAGGTTATGGAGGAAGGGGGTGGGCTCAGGCCTGGGGTCTGGCAGGCAGACAGTGCCCCGTGTTTCTAGTGTGGGTATCCTCGGACAATTGGCTTCATTTCTCAGAGCTTCAGTTCCCTGTTCTCTGAAACACCTGGCAGAGTCAGGGGTGTGAAAGCAGCTTGAGTGCCTGGCACGGTCTGTGTGCCAGTGGGTGACGGGGAGGTGGGCGGAGCCCAGGCCTCAGGGGGCCCTGGGGCCACGTGGGGAGAGCATCTCTCCCGGTCCCTCCCCACCCTGCGTCAGCACCCACCACCTCTACCCTAGACCTCCTGCAGCACTTAGGGGACAGCAGGCACGTGGCCGTCTACCACAAGGGCCGCTTCTTCAAGGTGTGGCTCTATGAGGGCTCGCAGCTGCTCAAGCCCCGCGACCTGGAGATGCAGTTCCAGAGGATCCTGGATGACCCCTCCCCACCACAGCCTGGGGAGGAGAAGCTGGCGGCCCTCACGGCCGGTGGGAGGTACGGGGTGGAGGAACACCACGAGGAGAGGGTGCCCGACCTCGTCGTTTGTCACCCAAACCAGGGCCTTTGGTAGTGAGAGGGCGTCCCTGGGCTGTTTCTCTGCACCCCCTACCACTGATGGGTGGCGGTTAGCCCAGCTGCCTCCAGGCCAGCTCCCCGAAGGCCCCCTCCTCTGCGCCTCCCCCCCACTCAGCACCGCCCCTGTGCCCCCAGGGTGGAGTGGGCCGAGGCACGCCAGGCCTTCTTTAGCCACGGCAAGAACAAGGCCGCCTTGGACGCCATTGAGCGGGCTGCCTTCTTTGTGGCCCTGGACGAAGAGTCCCACTGCTATGACCCCGAGGATGAGGCTAGCTTCAGCCTCTACGGCAAGGCACTCCTGCACGGCAACTGCTGTAACAGGTGCCCCCCCAACCTCTGCCCTCCCCTGGCCCGGGGGCCCCCTCCCCCACCCTGCAGTGCTGCCCCCAGCTCTGCTCCCCTGCCCTGCCGCCATCACGACTTTGTCACTCTCCCTTCTCGGCTCCCTCTCAGGCCTCTGCGTCTTCCTGCAGGTGGTTTGACAAGTCCTTCACTGTCATCTCCTTCAAGAATGGCCAGATGGGCCTCAACGCAGAACACGCGTGGGCAGATGCCCCCATCATAGGGCACCTGTGGGAGGTAGCAGCGGGGCAGGTCCTGGGAGGGCAGGCTGGGAGTGGACATGGCCGCCCTCTCAGCCTGACTTCTCTCCTCTCAGTTTGTACTGGCTACCGACACTTTATACTTGGGCTACACGGAGACTGGGCACTGCCTGGGCAAAGCGAACCCCACGCTGACACCCCCTCAGCGGCTGCAGTGGAATGTTCCAGAGCAGGTGGGTCAGGGCCCCACGCAGGTGCCCAGGCCAAAGGGGGCAGGGAGCTGGAAGACCTCTGCCTCCTCCTTTCCATGGCTGGTGCTCAGCGGGGGAGGGCAGGACTCCTCAGGGAGCGTGTGGGTCCCAGACTGGCCACAGAGAGGGCTAGCAAAGGCATGAGGTCCACCTGCCCTGCCTATAGCCGCAGCCAGCCCAGACGGTCCTTCAAGTTTACTTTTATCATCTTTTCTCGGTGCCAGTGCCAAAGCCGGGGTGTGCGGAGAGGCACGCCAGCTCCTCCACTCTCTCACTACACCCTTGGTTTCTTGGCAGTGCCGGGTGGCCATCGAACGCTCCTACCAGGTGGCCAAGGCCCTGGCAGACGACGTGGAGCTGTACTGCTTCCAGTTTCTGCCCTTTGGCAAAGGTCTCATTAAGAAGTGCCGCACCAGCCCCGATGCCTTTGTGCAGATAGCCCTGCAGCTGGCGCACTTCCGGGTGAGCGCACGGCCGGCCCCGGCAGGTGGGCGGGCAGGCGAGGGGCGGGCCAGTCACCAGCCGGAACCACCCCTCTGTGTTCCTCAGGACAGGGGCAAGTTTTGCCTGACCTACGAGGCCTCGATGACCAGAATGTTCCGGGAGGGACGGACCGAGACTGTGCGGTCCTGTACCTGCGAGTCCTCAGCCTTTGTGCGGGCCATGGTGGAGGGCAACCACATGGTGAGGCCCCGCCCATGCCCACCCGCCCCGCGGGGCGGGGGCCGTGTGATGGGGACCCCCATCTCCACTCCCCCACTGTGGGGGTCAGGGACATGTGGTGAGATACCCCATCTATCTCTGGGTGGGGGCCACCTCTACCCACCCACCTGTGGGCCATGTGGTGAGACAGCCCACCTATCTCAGGGTGCGGGCTACGTGGTGAGATCACCTACCCCCACCTCCAGCCACCCACCTGTGGGTCAGCGCCATGTGGTGAGACACCCCACCTATCTCAGGGTGGGGGCCACGTGGTGAGATCCCCTACCCCCACCTGTCCCCCACAGGGGTCAGGGTCATGTGGTGAGACACTCTGCTTGTCTCAGGGTGTGGGGCCATGTGGTAAGGCCCCCCCACCTCCACCTGTCCCCGGCAGGAGTCAGGGCTATGTGGTGAGATACCCTCACCCTGACTTGCCTTGGGGTCGGGGCCGCAAGGTGAAACACCCACCCCCACCCACTTTGAGGATTAGGCCCATGTGATGAGATACCCTCACTTCAGGGGTCAGGACAATGTGGCGAGACACCTTCACCCCCACCCACCTTGGGGGTCAAGGCCTTGGAGCAGGGCCACGTTCACCCTCCACTTCTGCTCCCCAGAAAGCAGATCTCCAAGATCTCTTCCAGAAAGCATCTAAGAAGCACCAGAACATGTACCGCCTGGCCATGACAGGGGCTGGGATTGACAGGCACCTCTTCTGCCTCTACTTGGTTTCCAAGTATCTGGGGGTCACGTCCCCTTTCCTGGCCGAGGTCAGTGTCCCCTGTCCCCCATCCTACCAGGCCAGGGGCCACCCTGGGAGGCTGGCCCCATCCCATCCTAGCTCTCCAGTCCCGGTCTGCACAGGAACCAAGTGGACAGTCTGGTCAGGGAGACAGACAAAAGATGAGGTCTGTCACCGGAGACCATGTTAGAGAGAACGGGGGTGGTCAGGGAAGGCCTCTTCCCAAGGTGGCTGGAAGTGAAGGGGAGAGCAGGCATTCTGGGCACGGAACAGCCAGTGCCCAGACCCCAAGACCAGGCGAGCTGGTGCACTCGAGGGACAGGAAGCCTGGGATGCAGCACAGTGGGAGGGGTATGGGAGAGGAGGCTTGGGGAGGGTGGAGCAGAGTGGTGGGGAGCACAGGAGGGGGACGTGGAGGGCAGAGCAAGGGGCTGTAGGAGAGGAGGCAGGGGAGGGGACAGAGCACGAGGAGTGCGGGGGGGTGGGTGGAGCAAGAGGGGGTAGAGAGGAGGCCAGTGGGGGGACAGAGCAGGGGGATGTAGGAGAGGAGATAGGGAGCTGAAAACGGGAGCACAAGAGAGGGGCCCAGTGTGGGGATGGAAGGCAGTATCAGGAAGCCTCTGCTCTCGTGTCCAGTCAGGTGTGTGCTAAGTGTGTGAGGTCTCACCGCTGTGGTCTCCCTGCTCAGACACTACCTGTCATACAGGTATTTAAGTTGGAGCCTGCGTGAGGTCTCACCGCCGCAGCCTCCCTGCTCAGACACTGTCTGTCACACAGGTGTTTAAGTGGGAGCCTGCGTGAGGTCTCACCGCGGTGGCTTTTCTGTTGCAGGTGCTGGAAGAACCCTGGCGCCTCTCTACCAGCCAGACCGCTCAATTCCAGATCCGCATGTTTGACCCAGAGCAGTACCCCAGTCACCTTGCCGCTGGAGGTGGCTTTGGCCCGGTAAGTTCCCCTAGGGGGGCAGGAGGGCAGGATGGGGCAGGGGACAGTGGAGAGCATCAGGACGCGTGGTGAGGTCAGATAGGGCCAGGAGCCCCAGTTCCCACGTGAAGACAGGCAGAAGGTGCCAGAGACCCCATCTGCCCTAACCCCTGCCCATGGAGCCGTGCTTATCTGGGAGTCAGCGCTCTCTCTTAACACGCCGACACCAGCGAGTTCAGAGGTCCTCTTGGAGGAAGAAGGTAAGACTGACTCTGAGAGAGGGATCAGAACACGGGAGGTCTGGCTTCTGGGCAGTCAGGATGGCAGGGGAGAGGGTCTTGAGTTTCCGCCGTGTTCCTGGGGGTGGCCCTGAGCTCATCCCAGGCCTGGAGTTGCTGTGGACAAAGCATTTATGGAGTCACTTTGGCTCTCAGGTGGTCCAGATTTGATCGTCACCTCTTCTCCTCACACTTCGTGTTACTCTCAGGTAGCGGACGATGGCTACGGGGTGTCTTACATGATTGCGGGCGAGAACACCATCTTCTTCCATGTCTCCAGCAAGTTCTCAAGCTCAGAAACAGTGAGTCTTCCCCTCCCCTCAGAGCTGGGTGCAGTGCTGCTGGGGGAAGCCAGCACACCTGCCCCTGGCTTGGGAGGAGCCCTTGCCTCAGGGACAGACAGGCACGGGGTCAGCCAGCAGGCACACTGACCTCTCTGCCCCACAGAATGCCCAGCGCTTCGGGAACCATATCCGCCAAGCCCTGATGGACATTGCAGATCTTTTCCAAGTCCCCGAGGCTGCCCACTGACAGTCGGAGATGTGGCCAGCTGTCCTTTCATCCCCGCGCCACGGAAGGAAGGGGCCCGTGGCCAGCTCGTGGTGTACATGGGTGGCCATGCAGAGGTCCCAGGCTCTGAAGAACAGTTCTGGCAGCAGGGCCTTCCTGGCCAGATGGTATTTTCTAAGGACCGAGGTGCTGGAAGTGGGATTGGAGCCGGGATGAAAGTTAACTTTTTCTCGGTAGATGTTAATAAAAATAAGCCTGTGTAATTCTTTCTCAGCCCTTAGGTACCTGTCTTTGGGAAACAGGCGGCCTTCCTCCTGCCCAGCTCAGCCCGAGAAGGGGCAGGGAACGGGCTGGGGCTGGGAGGTGGTTGGGGAGGTCTGTGATGGCCTTGAGGTGTGGCTCTGCTGGTGCTGTGGGCTCCTGAGACTGCTGTCCACACCCACTGTAGCTGGAATAAATTCCAGCTTCATAACCTTCACCCTTCCCAAGGTCACTTCTGTTGGTCAGCCCGGCGTGGGTCTCCTGCCTGCTCCACGGGGGGGCCTGTGCCTGTGCCTATCCTGGCCTTTATTTGTTGACTGCGGTTTACCGAGCGTCGTAGTCACCTAGTGCTGCTATAGCAGAAATACCACAAGTGGATGGCTTCGACAAATTAATTTACTCTCTCACAGTCTAGTAGATTGCAAGTCCAAACTCAGGGCGTCAGCTCTGTCGGCTCTGGAGGAAGTTCCTTGTCATCAGTCTTCCCTTGTTTTGGGAACATCTCAGCGCAGGAACCTCAGGTTCAAAGGACATGCTCTGCTCCCAGCACTGCTTTCTTTCTATGAGGTCCCCAGTTCTCTGCTTGCTTCCCTTTCCTTTTATCGCTTGAGAGATAAAAGGTGGTGCAGGCCACACCCTAGGGAAACTCCCTTTACACTGGATCAGGGATGTGACCTTAGTAAGGGTGTCATAATCCCACCCTAATCCTCTTTAACGTAAAATTACAATCACAAAATGGAGGACAACCACACAATTCTGGGAATCGTGGCCCAGCCAAATTGATACACACATTTTTGGGGGACATAATCCATGACACCGAGCATCCCACGTGCCTGCAGAGACCCCCCCAGCAGGCGAGACAGGCATGGACTGAGGTGGGGAGGGGGCTTAGTTTAAGAGTGTGCATCTAGTGCCTCTGTGCGCACCGGGAACATCGGTGAATGAAACCCACCAAGGAAACCCCCTTGGAGCCGAGTCCAGCGGTGGAGACAGCAGTGACCAGATGAGTGAGTGAGGTCCACAGTGTGTCGGGCAGCAGTACGTGCTGACAAGGAAAATAAGTGGGGGAACACGAAGGGTGGGTGGCAATTTCAGACAGGGCTGCTGAAGGAGATAAGGGAGCAAGCTGTATAGACATCTGAAGGAAGAGTATTCCCCCTCGGTGAGGGAACCGCAGAGCCACAGTCTTGAGGTGGGAGGAGCCTACTGTAATGGAGGGACAGCAAGGGGGCCTTGAGGGTAGGCAGAGTCAGGGAGTGGGGGGGCGTGGGGGTGGGGAGGAGTCAGGGAGTTAGGAGCTCTGCATTAGTTAAACGCTAGCACCCATCACAGATAAAGCCTTAAATCTCAGTGGTTTCACCAAATAGAAGCCTAATTCTTGCTTAAATCAAATCTGGTCGGCAGTGATGGGGGGTTCCCCACTCCTCCCCTTCCTGACTCTACCCCAAGGTGGCTGGCTGACAGAGGCCCCGCCTCTGACATCCAGCCCTCAAGGGGCAAGACAGAGAGGGCCGCCCCTGGAGGCTTTTATGGCCTGGCAGGGAAGTGGGCAGGACTCACAGGTCGTGTGTGAATAGTGTGTACCAGAACATAAAAGTACTTGGTGAGCAGTTAGCTGGTCTCAAATATACAAGGGCACCCGTGGGCAGAACAGACTGACATCTCTGGGCTGCCCAGAGAGCCCAGGCATAATGGTTGGGTTAGTCTCCTAGCGCTGCCGTAACAGAAGTGAATGGCTTTAAAGAACAGAAATTTATTCTCTCACAGTTTGGGAGGCTAGAAGTCCGAATTCAGGGTGTGGCTCTAGGTGGAGGTCCTTCCTTGTCTCTTTCAGCTTCTAGTAGCTGCCAGCAATGCATGGCATCCCTTTGCTTGTAGACGGGTCCTCACGTGGCGTCTGTCCCCCCGTGTGTCTCTGTGTCTATTCTGGCCTTTTTGTAACTCAGAAGTGATTAGGTTTAGGACCCACCCTGCACTGGTAAGACCATTAACATAATAAAAGAAAACCCTATTTCCAAACAGGATCACATCCACATATGCAAGGGCCCGGGTTTCAGTTCATATTTTGGGAGGCCATAGTTCAATCCATAACATTCCACCCTCTGATTCCCCAAAATTCATGTCTTTCCCATATGCAAAACACGTTCACTTTATCACAATGGTTGACTGGCCTGCCGCTGCTGGGCAAGGCTGTCATACTGATCTTCTGCCGCTCCCCAAGAGCCCTGTGCTCCAGCCACTCTCTTCTTCCCCAAATGAGCCAGGCTCACCCCCACCTTTGCCTTTGCACTTGCTAGACCTTCTGCCTGGAATCCTTTGCCTTTTCTCAGCCTGGTAAATGCCTACTCTTCCCCAAAGCTGCTCTGTTACCCCAGCAAAGTTATCTGTAATTCGTGTTTTTCTGGGGTGCTGTATCAGAAATGGAGCCCTGGTGGTGGTGCAGTAGTCAAGCATTTGGCTGCTAACCAAAAGGTCGGCAGTTTGAATCCACCAGCAGTTTCTTGGAAACCCCATGGGGGCAGTTCTCTGTTCTATACAGTTGTGATGGTAACCTGTTTGGTTTTTGTTCATATTACGAATCAATTCTGGGCAGCTTAAGTGAATGGGAGGATGACTGGAAGTATGCGAGGTGTCTCACAGGTGGGAAGGGACAGCCAAAAACCCAGGTTGGAAAGGGGCAGGAAGCTGGCACCTTGGGGAGGGGATGTGGCCCACACAGCAGTCTCCGCCATGACAGGTGAGTGCTCGCTCTGTCAGACTGGCTGGCTTGATACCACCTGCGCTGCAGCCAGGCTGCTCAGGGGTCAAAATCCCTGGAGAGAGAGTCCAGTGTGTCCCAGGTGTGTTGGGAATCTCAAACACAAGGTATCCAAGGCGTTCAAAACTGAAATTACCAAACTTCCACGCTGCCTTCTCCACTCTTCTCATCTCAGCCAGCCGCCCCACCCTCCACCCACTAACCCATCCCTTCTTTCTCCCTCACCTCCCACGTTACCAAGCCCAGTCAAGTCCACTTTCAAAGTGGCCTTTGACTCTAAGCACTTCCCTCCATGGTGACCATCACCTCCACCACCCATGCCTACATCATCTCTTATGCAACAACAGCAATAGCCATGGTCCATCTCCACCCTCTGGCCTCACACCTGACCACACCCTCTGCTGCTTACCACCCTTCGAAGGTGCCCCATCGCCCTCTGAATACAGACCCAGCTCCTTGGATTGACCCAAAAAGGCCCCGTGATCATGCTCCTGCACACTCTTCCCTCCAGTTTCGTCTTCACCAGAGCTTCATGTGTCAACCTCTGTTGGTGGTTTGTGCACCCACTGCCTGGAGGCCAGGAGGGCTGGGCAGACCCTCACCTCCCTGAGCCTCAGCTTTCTCCTCTGTAAGAACACAACTATTTTGACCATGCATGGTGGTAGTGAAGACTCAAAATATTTGGGCATTGACCCCTCACATCTTCAGTCAACAAATGTTTGCCAGCACCTGCTCTGTATCAACTATGTGCTCGACACTAAGGGGCACTGGGTCAGCAAGACGTACAAGGCCCTGCAATCACAGCCTCTCAAGAAGGAACCCAGGGGAGGGACAACCGTGGGAGACCTGGAGGTGCCAGGTCAGTGGGAGCCTGAAACTCCCCATCTCAACCCAGTCTCGCTCAACCCTCAGACCTTCCCTCAGTTCCAGCACTCGCTTACGTGAGGCCACGAGGCCAGCATATGAGGCCAGCAGGGAGGGCAAGGTCACATGCCTGAAAGCCACGCCCCTTCCCCTCGGAGACCTGCCAATAAGCGCCTGAGGCCAACTCCGGGGGTGGGTCAAATAACGGAAAGGGGTGGGACGTCGATATGTCATTTCCGGGAGCCGCCTTGTGGGGAGCTGACAGAGCGCGGGCAGAGCGGGCGGTGAGCGTGGAGGGGAGGTGGGGTGGGGTGAGGTGGGATGGGATGCTGGTTCCTGTTACAGCGCGTCGTTCCTAGCGCTCTGCATCCTGGACGCGAACTCCACACACCCTGATTCCTCGCACGTGAGACTCACCCCACACACCTCAGACTTCACCCCTCAAGCCCCTCAAGTCCTGACCCCTCACCCCTCACACCTCTGACCTCTCCCTCCTCGCCCTCAACATCCCACACCCTGACCCCTCACACCCTCACCACGCACCTGGGCACCGCACCCCACACACCCAGACCCCTCACCCGGGGTCTCACATCCTAGAGTCGTTCAGTCTCACATCGTAGACTCATTCTCACCCCCACACACCTCCTGATTCCACGCAGCTCCGCACAACCCGACCCCTCACCCCACACACTCTTGACCCCCAATTCCACACACTACCTCACACCCCAGATTCCTCCACCCTGCAGACCACCTCACACTTTGTCACTCTTCACAACAGGAGTGCTCCCAGACCCTTCACACTCTTCTAATTTCCAGGACTCCCCATCCCACGTATCACACTCACATCTATTCTCACGTTGCTCACACTTCCAGACCTCCACCCCTCACAAAAGAATGAATCTTGGATCCAAGCACCACTCACGTCCCTTCACACTTCTCATCCCAAGAGGGATCCCAAAACCAAAAAAAAAAAACCCTTTGCCGTCAAGTCGATTCCAACTCATAGCGACCCTATAGGGCAGAGTAGAACTGCCCTATAGGGTTTCCAGGGAACAGCTGGTAGATTGGAACTGCCAGCCTTTTGATTGACAGCCGAGCTCTTAACCACTGCTGGTTTGAGCTATTTTTATCTCTCACC